CTTGGATCCTTGCCTATAGATTGTCATAAAATGAAAATGAATTGAGAGTAAAAATTTTTGAAAAAAAAATCACACCGAATACCCTGAAGCTGCATACACGAAAATTTGTAATCGCTCGAAACAATGTGGTTCATCGTGAGTGCATGTCCTGGACTCATAAAATGGGCACGTTCTAAGATCGTAAAATCCGATTTCTAAATGGCAGTTTCTTTCGGACTCGGACAGGAGCCGATCGAGTGGTAAGTAGATACCCAAGTCACTGCCAATCCCGTGGCCTATGAACTCCCCTTTATGTGTCGCGTTCGGAGGTCCAGCCAGAAGTTGGCAACGCATGGTCAAACGCTATGCGCTAGGTATAGTCTCGTATACGATTAGCATGACAACGCCATCGGGGATAGCCGATAGTTTGTTACTCGAGCTGTGAGTAGAGGGTGGCTATGCCGTAGGGTAAGTATATAGGGTGGCCTGGCTGTCAGGCAGTATTTTTTATCTAGTCACGGTCAACTGGCTCAGTGGGTCCTCCCGCCCATTATTAGCGCAGACTACACTGACGTTAGATGCGTGTATGGATACGTGAGCGAGTGCGTGTATCCACGGTCCATCTACGTAACGTCGTCAGCTTATAGCTACTATGTAGCCTTCGAGCAATGGCCTTTCCCCGTAGTGGTCTGGTCTAAGGGTGGCCACCCCGAAGGTTTTATCTTTTTAGTATTATTGCACGATGGCCGCTGCTGGGCACGCGGAGCGAAGCTGGGTTAAAGAGAAGAGGAAAAAGAGAAAAAGAAAAATCGACAGACCAACATCATTCTTGTACAGTCGAATGATTCTTATTGTCATAGTATTGCCATGATGCTAAGTTTATTTTAGGTTATGCGATACCGGTTGATACCTTTGAGGTTATGGAATTTATTGGAATTTCAATTGTTTCAGATGAAAACAGAAAGATTCAACTGTGAGATCAAATGGCCGTTTACGCCGAGGTTGTGGTACTAAGAAGAGTCCTTCCTCTTTCTAGGTGGAATAATAATGGCCTGGGTATGTATTCTAGATATCAATGGGATTCAATATCGAAATGATCCCATAGCCTTGTGTAGGCATGCGTGCACGTATGGGAATTCGACTGTGGGATAGACTTGTACATGAGTAACGTATATGTAGACCTCCATAAAGATAGCGACACTGACATCAGATAGTAGCTCGCAACAGAAAGAAGGGTCTTGGGCTCACCGCCATAGATCGCGAATGCCCATTCCAAGAGATACTTTGTTTTCTCCGAAATACCTAGAGTTCCCGGTAACCGTCTTAGTTTAGCTAGAAAATTCTCCGTTCAGGATTTCACCTAGAGTGGGGATATGCGGACAAGTGAGTGGAAGTCACAGGATAGCCTTTAATGTCAAAAAAATGCGAATCGCCATTTGCATTGTGAAAATCGACACGATTTCGATTTTATGGAGCTTGCAGAAAAAAAAGAGATTTGCGAAATTGGTCGAGTTATTTTTTTTACCCGATATATCTCAAATTCGTAACGACCCACAGAAGGCATCAGAATGAACGTAATGTGAGTGAGAAAGAAGGAGGGAAGGTTTGATAAAAAATAAATGCCTCGCATGCCGTATCGAAGAGGAAGTTGTTTCAGACAAGAAGGATGTTCCCGAAATTTTATGGGTGTCGATGATGTCACAGATTTGGGCCGTAAAGGAAAATTTACTGATCTCGTGCGACCCGCCAGCGATACGTGCCGATGCGTTTCTTTGATTTCCAAGCGGTGGATCATTTTGGATCATCCCTTAGTTGGTGAATACACCTCTACTTTTTATACTGCGGATCTAGGAATTCGCAGCTGGGTAAATAAGGTTAAGTAGGTGCAGATTGAGTCGAGAGTGGAAGCCTCACAATGCACAATGAGGGTGCTTTCTACCACCCTTCAGCCCGCTACCCCCTGCGCACGAATCGAAGCCCCACTGCGTGGTCGCAACTGTGGATAGCATTAGAACCTACCTAGGGCTACTTACTGCGACTATTATGCCGATAGTAGAGTGCTACCTGGACTAGGGTCACATTCAATTGGATCATACTTGACATGCATATCTTGAAATATTGTCAAACCTCATAGTAATAGTTGTTCGTAAATTTGTATACGTATATCCATTAAAATTTTATCATGAAATTATACACAAAATTGACAATCCACAAGAGCACTAGTGTTTACTGCCTTTTTATAAAAAATAATAGAAAACATCCCTTAACGTAATTTTAATCTTTCACAAAACCGTGTAGGATTCTGAACCGCAAAGATAATTATTCCAACCCTCGAGGGGGTCAAGCGTAGAAAAAAAATGGGTTAATACGAGGGCCATAAATTTTCGCGCTGATTTATCACGGGGGTTGACCGAGAATTGTTTAAAATAGGCAGTAAAGGGCATTTAAACGATCCCCCGGGTGCGTTCTCGCACAGGGTGACTCTAAAGTGAATCGAATTTTCAACCGTGTAGTCCTGTGCGCACTGCTGGTAAGAGAGTCGCAGAGGGTTATTGGTTTGGGGGGTAGTGTTAGTGAATACGCATGACTATATATATATATATATGGATATGTTTTATGAGCTCGTACGTGGTAGCTATAGTAAGGGGAAGGCCGATAAGGGTGGCGAAGCAAGAAGCGAGAAACACCATGGCCACCCTTAACGAGGCTAATACGCCTGTCACACGTCAAGGCGTCATGGCTCGACGCGCTATTAATGTCGCGAATCAACGGACACAACTGTTGAACGTCACGTTAATATGTTGCGTTGTTACAGCTGATAGTAGGATTGCCAGTCGTGATACTGACTCGTGTAACAATGGTCTATTATTATCAGATTCACGGTACATAGCGTTAAGACAGCATATTTCATCAGTCTAATTGGTTATGTTGGTTAAGAATGTTTCGGCGGGAAATTTAAACAGGGTACTAGGAATAACATATGAAAATTTCTTATGCTCCGACTTTATATTCTCCTTTGAGAAAAATTTTTCCAAGTGTCTATCGATCCTTGAATGCAGTTCTAACATAGGACTTCCTGGGAACACTGCAGCCAACGGCGAGGATGTCCGCGTATCACGCGAAACCGCCAATATCGACAGGACATAAATGTTTTACATGCAATAAGGCGTTCGTCCCGGGTGGACCGAACTGCCCGCAGCCCAATTTTATTGCTCGACCGCAAAGGGAACTTCAGGGTGGAATGGTAGAGAGAACTTGCTTCGGGGCGCAAGGTGTAAAAAAAAAGGTATCTGCATAATTGCATTGCACTAGGTTTACATAGGTATGTATGTAAAAGGCATTGGGCAGTACTTGCAACGAATTTGCACTTGTCATGTAATGTGGAATTTTGATAAAATTCTGTGAATAATAATTTTTTGAACACTTTCTCAGACGTTACAATCCTTTGTATTTTTACATTGGTTATGAAAATCGAGAAAATTTAATGGCAAAGTCGTAGCCGCACAAACATGCCGTAATTTAACCGTGTACGTACACTTCTAATGCTTCTACACCCACCATAGAGATATATATGCTTAATACGATTTATGGCGGTCAGTTTATTGAAATTGCCAGTCCCCGGGTTCACCATCACACGCGCTTTTCTATTTCTTGTCTTTACGTTACGCGTACGAGTACATAGGTATATTATATATACTTTATGTATATGTCACTGCCTACTGTTCGAGCCATCCTGCCCTATTCCGCAGACGGTCACTGGTCGCGCCAGTGTTGTCTCCTGCTAAATCTTTAATATTCTATTTAATATCTCAGCCCTTCGGCGAGCTGCCGGTTCCCGGGCAGCGGCGTCGCTATATAAATCAAACGAAAGATATTGGCCGTTTTTGCTGGAAAGGGACGAGAGACTTTGGGTTCGAGTGCGGGGACTATAATTGTTTTTACGGATTATAAATTTTCCTCTTTCTCCTTTTTATTTTAGACCTTTTTTTGACAAGCCAGTTGCCGCCCACTCGATAGCCAATATTTTCTCCGTAAGCGTAGACATTGCCTACGATACACAAGCAATTTTCCGTCGTGTCGTCTGTGTATAACCTAACTTAGGCTTTTGGCGTGAAAACTCTTTTCCTTTACATTAAATCGTCTATCATTGCTCGGCAGACTCTCGCATTTCAAGACGTACTGCGACGAGATAATATTTATAGGACAGGCATTTCAGAATCATGCTGTACCAACCCCTCTCACCTAAGGAACATCCCTGTGATACAGTGCCGTTCAGTCAGGAGTTCAGGGGTTAAGAAGAGATTTTGGGGTCGCGTTAATTAATACCGCGCAGCCACCCCTACACAACACTTGGCGCACGGGTACTAACTATAACTAAGCCGCCATTAATTCACATCAACGTCTTCCTATCGCTTTGGGGTGGGTGACTTGCATCCTTGTTGCCCAAAGGAGATAAGTGAATGGGTACTCGCAGGATATTCACGAACCGTAACGGTATTCACCGCTTCTCGAACTCATTATACATTTATTCCTATGCAAAGCCAATAATTTCAATTTATTATCGAGAAGAAAACAAAGCTGAATAAATTTTAAGAAATTGAATTTTTCAAATTCCCTCTACTTTATGCACTTTGCACTTACGTACACTGTTAGACTTACCGTTAGTGGCAGCTGGGCCATTACAATAATATTTTTAATAAATATTCCTGCACCATCGGACAGTCATGGATTAACCAAAATACATATATGCGCGGTAATATAAAGCTGCTATATCTTCACTTTGATTTTAATAAGAATATTACATATTCAAATAGCCCGCCTGAAATCGTAACGCTCCTATACGTAAAATGGCGAAGCTCCTTCAGCAATTTTGATACGACACAGGTCGCAGAGGTCTCGTAATCATAATCGTAACAGTAATCGTAATCGTAATTGTACGGTTTCATGTGGTAACTATAGGGTCAACCAATGGGTACGCGTTTCTCGGAAAGAAAACGTACGAGAATGTAAGAGGTTAGCTGGTTGGCTGGTTCGCGATAGCTGATGGCGATGTCCGATAACCAACCACGCTTCTCGTCACGCACGGGTCTCACGTAACTTGACGATATGGAACTCGATCCTTTAAGACGAGAGAAGGATCGCGATTGCCAGGAATCCAAGGATAATTTTCCAGGTAGAGATTGACTTACGATTCTACGGATGTGCTATTAAAATTCGCTATCACAATTAATCTCGGATGAGACTAAAATTCACCGCCAGTATTACGAGTGTCGTTGTGTCTCTGTTTACCTGCATGCAACTCAGCGAGACGCAACCATAACCGCAGTGAGTTCTAAAATACGTCTTAATACTATTTCTAACCTAAAAGTATCTGTCATACCTTTACTCATAACGTTGTTATCGAATTATCCTTTTCATGATTGACACAATAAATTCTGTAAGGACTTCTTCCTTCCTAGTACTATAAGCATCCACCCAGAGGATGTCAGCAAGATGAAGGAAAATCCTGTTGACATAATATTTCGAAATTCTCCTCGAATTCAGGGATCCTGTATGCTACTACGTGGTTGGGTAGATATTTCCCGTTGGTTAAGCCGATCATTGTCGCGGTAACAAGCAGGCTATTGACAGGTCTCGTTCACTGTAGTTGGTAACACTGTGTCCGTATATAAGAGCAGATAGTCCAATCCACGACCTAGGGACTGACCACAGTCTTACCACTCTGTGGTCGTGTTAGCACGTTACTACGGGGGCCACATACTAATGGGGCATTACCTTAACACCCTCTATCCCGACTCTCGTTCAGTTAGTTACTCCTCGGGGATGTCGAAGAAAGGCAAGAACGAAGGACAGACGATATGGGAAGAAATCCCGATCCCTTCCACCCTTCTCATTTTACCCCAACTAACCTGTACCCCGTATCTACTATCACTCTTTCTTTTAATCTCCAGGTTATCGTTAAATCAGATTTAGTCTTGTGAAAGTAAGTATTTTGATTTTTATTAACCCGGGAGTACATCGCGTGGGATGCCTGAGCCTTTCTGACTTAATGCTCTCTAAATGGAGAACAAAATCGCGTGGCCGTGTTAAGTAAAAATTTGATTTCGGACAGGTATGTAATTGCTATGAATTATGATTTTTTCTTTTCTTTTTTTTTTGGCTAAGCTGTTTCTACTTTTGGCATCTTCTCAAAATTCCTATCTGCACAGTTGAGTACTAACGATATGTAAATATTCTTTCTCACAATAGTACCCAAGAATCACTGGTCTTGGTAGAATGATAATCTGATCTAGGATTCTGGAAGGAAACAATACCAGAGACCGATTGGTGGTGACGATAGATATTCTCGAGGGAAGTGCATGCATTTCAATCGACATCTTATCAGGTAGTCGAGCGATGCTAGAGTACCGGTGGATCGTGATCAAGTGGACCTCCATGGCGAGGACAATACACGCCGTGCCCGAGAAGTGACAATACACTATCACGGCCCGTTCAAGCGTATTGCTCTTTTGTCCGAACAGCCGCCGCCATTCGGAGTTTAAGGGTGCTGCAGGGTGACATCGAATTTGACCTGGAATCCTTGCGTATAGATTGAGTTTCACAATTGTACAGGTAACTGACATGAGTCATGTGCGGAAGATTTAAAAAAAGAAATTAAAGGACCAATAATATGAAAATTATTAATTTTATTTATTGGATCCTCCTGCACTTTGATATTATTCGCCTTTTTGATTTCAGGGTTGCTGAAGGATAGCGAGTTTCTTTGCATGAGAAAATAAATATGGTAAATGAGATATACGAGCTTTTTCTCGAGCTTTATATCCTTCTTATCCTACAAGCCTACTTTCTTATAACGAAAGTGTCGTAGTTATGAGTTAGTAGATCTAAAAGGCGAATTCGACTTCCGCCATATTAAACCCGCCCCAGGCTATCGCACAACTTTAAGGCTGAGGCCTTACACGGGGTCTCTCTACCCCTCTGGATTCTCGTGTCATCCCCATATACGTGATACGTTTCTCGCGGGACAGCCCTATATGGCTAGGATGGGTACCGGTTACTGGAGGATTTACTGCCAGGAACATATTTCAAACGGGAATCGAAGACTTTGGCCATCGGCGAGAGTGCATTACGCTCTTTGCATCATGGACGAATTTTCTTGGCTTTCACAGACTTTGGAATGCTCGGTAAATTTTTTTTTTCTTTTTCATAAAATTCAATCCGCTACGTCCTTTGTGAAACCTTTTACGGTCATTAGTGTTTTCCAAAATGTTTGATTTCCAACAGGGTCCAATAGTGTCTTGGGATTAGATTCTTTCAGAGGATCATTAAAAGCACAATTGAGTAATGCACCCAAGGGAACCTTACCCTCGAACAACCCTGAATCATTGCAAGATAAATGACAAAGTCTAGAAATTCTCGAATTGCTATCCAATTGTTAGAAAAGACTCTATGAACTATAAATAATAATTCCAATAATCTGCCATTGTTACCAAAATATTTTTATATTGACTACTCTTCATACATCTATATTAGAAAGTATATGAAGAACATCGAGACTGGATATGGAAGTTAAATGAATAGAGACAGTCACGAAATTAGATGCCGATTGTCTATTGTTGCAGAACGAATCCACTAATCAGAAGTTTGCACTTCACCCCCGTTAGCTTAGCTGGGCGCTATACAGACTAGCACTTCAGCCACAGTGGTCCTACCCTCGTAAGAAGAAGCCGTGAACTCGGAACTGGCGCTAACTTGGCTCCACTAACGGGCAATCAGATCGCCTCTGTTGGGACAACAGACCATCCCTCTCATCGGGATCCCGTCCTTCTACACTCGGATGTGACCGGTTGTATAGCTTATTTATCGAAGAACTTTCACGGGGGTTAAACAGCACTAAATTTACCCAAGGGGAAGAAACTGAGATAGACAAAGGAAGAGAGAGAGAGAGAGAGAGAGAGAGAGAGAAGAAACAACGTAGCGACTTAATTGTTCGAGTTTGCTTCTGCCCTATTGATTGGTTAACGGTGATTTGTGACGTTTTATGTTCAAAATAAATCTGAGCGAAGAAACAACGTAGCGACTTAGGGATCCCGTCCTTCTACACTCGGATGTGACCGGTTGTATAGCTTATTTATCGAAGAACTTTCACGGGGGTTAAACAGCACTAAATTTACCCAAGGGGAAGAAACTGAGATAGACAAAGGAAGAGAGAGAGAGAGAGAGAGAGAGAGAGAGAAGAAACAACGTAGCGACTTAATTGTTCGAGTTTGCTTCTGCCCTATTGATTGGTTAACGGTGATTTGTGACGTTTTATGTTCAAAATAAATCTGAGCGTTTCTATTTTTTTTTTTTTTCATTACAATTCCATCCTCGTTTCATTACCATTTTATTACATATAATTATTCAATATAATTATACAATAGTGCTGGGCCAACTCCAAGACATCTGCTTGACATCTGTTCTGCAAACGTGGAACAACAGAGAATCTCCGTCGACGTGATCAAGACTATCCCATATCCTGATTCTAGTAAACCTACGCGAGTATGTCTGTTAAGGGTAGTACTGAAGGGGTGAGACAGCTGAGGGTTACATCAGGAGCCCGGCTGTCCCTAGCCTTATTGTCCCATTTACACTGGGATGTTATATCCAAAGTTCCGCTTCTTATACAGTCGCTACTACGCCCATATAGTTCGGTCAGTTCAATAAAATGGCTGCTTGTAAGAAACTCTAGAAAGGTTTTCTTCTTTTTTTCTCTTCTCTTCTCTTGCCTCTATAGGCATTTAAGATTGATTCATTAGAATTATTGCATTTTATGGTATTTATATGTCTGTACAGTGTTTCCTTATCGTTATGTACATATATCTCCACATCTGTAAACAAAGAGAATACTGTCTTACAGGGGTGAAGATAGTCAGAAAGCGTTTATCGAAAAAGAGAAAATGAACGAGACTGTTGAAGGGACAGTGGAATCGGATGAAAGAAGCAAAGGAGGACGAAATGGGCCATGTGCGATTCTTTACGGATCTAATTGAGCGCAGAGATAACAGGCCGGATTCCACTGGGTAATAATACATCTTCGCTTTGGCTTCGTTCTAATGGCCAAACTAATAGCTGCTGGTACCTTAACGTCCCTTAAAGGTATCTGTATGTATACGTATATATTCTTTGGCACTGAGCGGAACGTGATAATAAATAAAAAAAAAGCATCGCATGTTCGTAGCGGTATATTTATTTAAAGAATTATCCAACAACAAACGTACTAAAAATATCGTTACTCAGGATACTGTGAGTCACTGGTTACTTATGTGACAAGTCCAATCACTGCCGTCCAATGAGGGGTAGTTTTTTTGCATGCATCCTGGGAGGTATATAAAATATACGCAGGCCAATTGGCTGCAAGCTTAGGTACTGATCCAGATGCTGGTATTCTTCCAGAACCCCGGAGAGAGTCATTCGATAGAGTCGGCGCCCTAAATGCACGGGGTGCAGGAAAGCGACCCCCCCAAAAAAGCAGTACTGGATGGCACGGAGTTGCAGCCAAAAGAGAATCTAGAGGATTTTACCGAGAGGAAAAAAAAATCGTATTCGAATTCCTCGAGAGGGTCGAGTACTTTGGTAGATCATCCCCCGGAGTTATGTTCCCGGGGAACCATAAACAATAAGTAAACGATGGGTTATTATGTTGCAGGGAGTAAAACGACAGTCAAGGGTAAGTCTGTTGAGTGTCCACCTTGGCCGGGGGTGGCGGTAGTGCTGGTGAATGAGGTTGGCTGTATTATATACGTAATATATACACAGGTATACATTCCTGTACATATTCCTGCATGTACACCTACGGGACCCGAAGAACACGTGAAGCTCGATCGTCTCTAGATATATAAGTATTCCCGAAGGCGAGGGGCAATTTGTCCCGGTCATTTGGCGAGTCCACGGGGACTCCCTGACTGTAATCCAATCACTAGCCACACTCTCTCTCCCTTAGCTTTCTACCCGCTCTCTCTCTCTCTCTCTCTCTCTCTCCCTTTTTCTCTCAACCCCTGTCCAGCATCCATTTCTCTCAGACACTCTTTGCCTTTCCCGCCATCTCCTGGTGACCCTCCTGAACGGCATCTATCTTTCCCTGTAGCGACCACCCTTACCCCTCCGAAATCTACTACCCTTCCAAGCAACCCTTGTTCAGTCGTCATTGAGTCTATACTGCAATCCTGACCATGTGACGAGTCGCTCACCCGTTACGTTCAGCTGCACGGATTGCTGCCGGTACTCAGGGGCCATGCATATTCAGGCACTGATAAGAGCTAGATTATAACTGTCAAATAATTCTTGATTTTTAATATCAAATGATTTTATAAGTAAATGCGCTACGGTGTAGGGCAATATTTTAATTAGGGGTAGATCTACGATACTGTTGTTCATACCAGTTTATAGGGGGCAGACGATATCCAGTATTGTATTAGGGGTAGTGACTCAGATCACGTAGTTACGTTTTCCTTTTTACGGTAACGAGTCGAACTTCATATTTTCAAATACTATGCAAGAATTCTTGGTAGGATTGTGCCTGAGGGCGAGTGGCATACGTGATCCCAAGCTACAGGGGTTGCGATATGAATTGGCCTTGTTTCAAGGGTGCCCTTTACACTTCTATTTCTCGCCGTTTCCTCCTATCCTTCCTTTAAAGTTCAACCAATGTATCAATCAACCCTGGTCCAACGTGTCTTTCATGTGGTACCACGTGTTATTTTTTTCTTTCATTTTCACATGCTCGTTACACACTACGCCGATATGTGAATTTTTTTTTTTCTTTTTCCACCAAAGTGAGGATATTTTTTCGACTTAATGACAGGTCTGCCCCGCTTACTTTATGTCCATGTCCTTTTGAATGAGGAGCCAATGAAAATTTGAAAAAGTCTATCCACCCAACGTTAAAGCCCTTTTTCGTTTTCCAATCTAACAAAGCAGTCCCGCTCGATACCATCATCCGTTACGCAATCACAATGAACGTACGTATACGCGTATATGTACATGTGCATGAACGTATATAGATTCACTGGTGCGATGCCGCAATTACGTTCTCGTGATTTAGGGTACACCCGTTACAGAGCGTAGCGCAGTATGATTTACGGGCAGCTCGTGAAATTAATTTGAATTCGGTAATGTACGAATAATTCTATATAGTACCTAACTAAAGGTATAGAATTTATATGGAGCATGTAACGTATATAAATAGATCGGTCGCGTGGGCAATGCTTGATTATAAAAAAAAGAGGATACGTTTGAAGAAAATATTGAATTCGCATATATCCTGAAGGAAGGAGCCCGTCTGCAGAGATACGATAATCCCGTTACAAGGAGGATGCTGCTGGTCCACTCGAAGGAGTTTCGGCGGTCATCATCAAACGAAGAAAACATTTCCAATCGAAGCGGCACGAAGATTAATTTCAATTTCAAACGCACCAAGACGCGGACACGCTTCGCCGATCACGAATGCCTCTAAAATTGAACGGATTCAGGATGCTGTGATCCTCCTTAGAGCAGAATCACTTTACTACATAAATCACTCTCTATGGAACGGTATGGATACTGATTCAGTTTTCTAACGAGATATATTTCAGAGACTGCGTATGATTTGAGCTTGGATCATCCTTGGATGTTTAGAATTTCCTTTTCAAATTTTCTTCAATTTGATTGCACGTTAAGATATAGTTGTGATATCGATTTATATGGTATTTTTGAAATAAATATTTTGGGTCGATATGACTACCTAACCAGTGGTAAAACGGTCTGCTTCGTAGTGATTTATCACAGCGCGAAGCATCCACCAGAAATATCTGATACCGTTAATGAATTTCTGCCTGCTCGGTATCCGCAAGGAAATATATAGAGAGAACGAACAGGATTTACTCCCTTGGATGCAGGACGAATGTGAAAATATCGAACAGTGGTCCTTTATTATTTCTTACAGGAACTGATAGAAAATGACCTTTTTAATATTTGATTTTTGATAACCGTTATCGTACCGTTCAAATTTTTTTACGGTATAAGTAGTCAATTTTAATATTAAAAAAAAAAAATAATACATGGTTCAAAGTACTGATTCGATTATTTATATTAAATGCTATAGTTGCTATGGGTAAAACAGTGTATTCAACCTCCATTAAATTATGCGTGATTTAATTTCAGATTTTTATACAGATACGTGTCACGTATTGCACCCGACACAAAGAACCTACCCAACAGAGTTCAATAAGACTCTACCGCCCATGAGACAAATGGCACGTGGCCCGCATGGGACAGAAATCGAAGAATATTCAGCACCGAATTCGCAAGAAATTAGGCGTGAAATGCGCCATGTGCTTCGAATATTTCTGCCTCCGATTCCAGCCGCACGTTTAGACAATTCTTGGGTGAGCAGATAGTATAGATATTTCGTACAAGACGTTCACGCAGACTCAAGATCTTTTCTCTGTAAAAGAAATTCCAATATATTCAACAGTGCAACTAGTTAGGGTTACACGTAAAATTACACGTTACAGTTACACGTAAAATTTTTGTATAGCTTAAAATAAGACTGAAAATTTTATCTTTTGCATCTCAAACATATATCCCACTTTACATTATTTAGTGCTACCGGAAACCCGCTTCACCATCTCACGTAAATCGCTTCCTGGTCAAGCGTTTGATCTATATTCTTACATACGTGCATCTATCCCTATGCAAACTCGGAGAACTGATCTTCCCACGGGTTGAGACTATAAAGTGGATTGATGCCAGACAGAAAGTAACAAGAAGGCAGTATCGTGCGTCTAACCTGGCTGTGAAAAGAGTGTCAATCTCAATAAACTGGACTATACGATCGAGACGTGTGTAAGCGAGGAATACACTGACGTAGTTACAACTGCAGGAGGCAATGCCGACGAAGAAGGTACTATTTGTATTCCATGGACAGAACCAATTCTTAGAACCTTCTGTAAAAGAAAGTCAAGAATCCACCTTCGGTCTGAAGCATTCGAAACGTAGATTTTCAAAGAAGTCAGAGGTTTCGTTTCTTCGAATGAACAAAGAACTTTTCAAATTACATTTGTACATTACATCTGTAACAGTATTCACATACATTGTCCCGCAAGAATGAATAACAGTATATAAAACTAGAACTAGGGAGCTAGAATGTTACTAGCAGAAACGATAATACCGAATGATGCTTTGGGTCCAGCAAAAGATTTAAATAATCATATATATCGGGTCAAGTAATAAATCCCTCGTGTCCAACCAGCCCTCCTTGCACCACGACCCTAACTACTGCCATCTATAGCAATGGGGTGGATCGGTGATATATGTCTTCCCTATAACAACCAGAATCAAAACATCGAACTCTCCTTCGTAGCTAGAGGGATGTTTGTCCTCTGACCATCCAACAGTCTAGATATACTAACTACATTACGGCTAACTAGATAACAGAAAGAGCGGATAAGGATGAATATTTTTGAAAAATTTTCATCATTCAAAGTAAAACAAAGTTCGATCGTTTCTCTAAAATTGTGGAATATAAAAAAAATAAATTTTGATAATTTAACGTACAAAAGCTAAATTTTGGGTCACGATGTCCATAAGTAAGGTCCTGGGCATATTATTATAATTGGAGGGGAGTCAACGTGCTGTATCTGGTCAGGAACGTACTGCTGGTTTACAGGAGATTACAGTAGGGTCGACGGTGGACACTTGACCGGTATTATAGATGTAATATCGTAAACAAGATCCCTCTCAGCTGAACACCAGCCGTTGTCCAGAGACTATATAACGTGTACGTTGATATCTGTACAAGTCATGGACTCGTCCAACGCCCTATGGCATATTCTCCCCTTTCTGCTATCTCTGTCACTCACTCTATATATCCATCCCTCTCACACTCTTAGCAGACCGTCCTCCCTTTTGCGAATCCCTATCTACCGCTACCTCTTGCTCCCGTTCTCCCCAGCCCCCTTTACAAGCGTTAGTGGTGTTTACTATTGAATATTCATTCTTCGCAGCGGCCGCCATTGTCTGTCCTGGGACCACGGAGCCCACGAAAAGTCCACACATTAACAAGTCGCGCTTGACCATACGTTCACCGTACCTCCAATGTTCCCTCTCGCCTTTTGTATTCCGGTACAACGTAGCACTGAGTTCGCGTAAAATACGAGAAAACTTATTTGTCGTATAAAATTTGGTAAGGATACTTGGAATCTTGAAAATTTTTTATCCGCATGTTATATTTTCTATTTTTCTTTAATTTTCGCGTCATTCGTCATTTATTTTCGGAATATGATATAACGAGGGAATATATTCGAACGACGAGAAAAGGTATAGTCTGGTAGGAGAGGAATCGAGAAAGTGCAGAAAAAGAGTCGGTCGGGACGAGTAACGCGAACCACTCCCATACCAAAGTTTTCCCCTGCACAATAAATACGAACGCACAACTGTACTATCGCAGGGACAATAAAAATAGATTTCCCGTACGTTGCCGGTTACCCGCCGCAAGTTACGATTAAAAGATCGAGCCTGAGGCCCGCCCAGGCCGTGTCTCGAATTCCCAGGACCTATAGAGAAACCTATAAGATCCTAGGGGACGAATGCGTCTACTTTTCGCTGCCGTACGTGGAAGCGAAACCAATTGGAACCAGCAAATATTGCCGCTAAGCTATGGACGTCCTATGTTTACCGTATGAATTCCTTAAATACAGTACGATCTAAGGCTCGAAACTCGGAATCTTCAGGGTCCTCGCAACGTAAACGAGAGAACATCTTCACTCGTCGAATGCTACTTCTTTGTATTATATTTATTGGATAAACAAAAAGTCTAAACTCAAATGCATATTCTAGGAATTTCAAGGAACGAGTCCACTTCTTATTCCATTTGTACATACGACCGGAGATTAGGTATACTCCGACGATAAAACCTCCTTTGCGTGGATTAGTTCGCTCAATCAGGAAATATACTCGGAGCCCCCATAAAAGCTCCCCACGTGCAAGCCCCTATAGTATATGTGGCCTTATATACTATTCTTATATACACTTCATCCTTCCTATTGAGAAGCTCTGGTATACATAAGAGAATAGATACTCATACGTGAATATATATAGATAAATTCTGATAGGATTATTTTGCTATCTGAAAAAAAAATCAAATTTCTCGAGGATTTGTACCGTTACTCCATTTATACAGTATACGGAATCCATACGGATTTCAAAATTGACTTTCAAGTATATTGATAATATCATTATGTCGTTTCACTCGTAAATTTAAAATCCCAGTATAATTGCGTGCAGACGGAAGTCACGCATGGCCCGTCCCAATTATTGTATGGTTATAGAGTAGAATCTATAGCTAAGGGTGACGAAACAAACCCCCGTGTCAATTTAACCGGCAAGGGATGTTGGTCGTTTTACGTATGTATATAGTACATAGGGTCAGGATTCGATGTCTTTTTCTTAGGGAGAGAGGTATTTTAAAGTCCGTAGAGTCAATGTGCCGCGAAATGCAACCCCTATCCTGACCTCACCCCATAATACAGATACGATATAGATGGGTACAAATCCCCGGAAACTTCATATCTATAACCTCTTCTTCTCATCCCTCCAGCCTGGTATATCCATACGGCACGAGCGGGTAGTTTTAAACAATTCGCCGATGAGCCACCCTCTTCCTGCAAGGGCGAGAGTATATTGCCAGCAGGGATATCGCCTTACGATATGAAGGATTTCTTACTTTATACTTTATGGCTACAGAAGAGGAGGGTCGATGAAACGATCCATAGGATGAGAATGGGAATGGGATCCCAGCACAACCCTTGGCACGTACTTAATTGTTTTAACGAGTAATCCCACCCCCACTTCTGACTGGATTTTCTCACTGATGGAACTCCAATGGAAAGTCCTGGATCGTCAGTGAAATTCACCAATCGGAGTTAATCAAAGTTGACAGGATAACACGGACGCGATTTTACTAACGAGGGTGTACTCTGAATGGACACCAAGTAGTAGGAGTCAATTCGATAGCAGTTAACAAATTGTTGGGGCTAAATGGAAGGGGTTTGGGGTTTGCGGTTTCCATGAGGGGTTGACAGAGGGAACGTATAATACATTGTTACCCCATCTACCAGCTTCCCTTTCCCTTCCACGTAATTCTCCCCGTGACGCTGGCTGGTGCGAGACGGGGGTGAATTACCTCATAATTAAAATTATCCTATTATACCAGAGACGTGCAGCCCTCGGTACCAATACGATGCAGAATAATTTATTCAAATCTCTTCAAACGACTCGAAGACTTACCTATCCACCCCTCTGAATCGAGAGGGTAATAGCAATAAATTTTTCTTTCTCGCGCGATTCCAAAAATGCTATCAGCGACAACAGCAAAGTTACTATCTTTAAGAATGAAAAAAATCTGATCAACTCGTATTTCTGGGTAATAACTTCGATCTACACGGATAACCTATTTTTTAAATATTTACATTAGGCAATGAATTACGTACTTTTTCAGTTTCACACACTGCCGGTATAATGTGAGGGTAATACGAGGGTTGTTCCCTGTCACCCCCCATATTCTCTTTGCGCACGCAACTTTCGTTACACAGAAAGGGGACGAGAGTTTTAAAGAGGCGAACGGAGCGCAGTGACCAGCAGCGCCACGAAGTATTTCAAACTAGTAGTAAAAATTATACGCCATTTAAAAAAGGGACACACCCCAGAGCTTATTGAACAGAGTAAAGCCTGACGTACCCTCTGAAAATAATTATGGGATAGAATTTAAAAAAGTCTGTGATAATTCCAAAAATGACTTATCAAGTATTCGTTCAAGGTGTTTGTTTAATAAGAATTTTTTATTAAAAATGTTAGGAATGCAAATTTTTTTAATTATCTACTACATTATAGATATCCCGTAAATTCATAACGTTACGTGTGACGAATTTAAAATTAAAGTATTATACGGTATAGGAGCCTCTCGATTGTTTCTCACTAGATGACACTCGATCCAATAGGGCGCGAATATTGGAACAGGATATGCGACGAGTATATACTCGAGCTCAACTTGGTCGGCCGAGTGACTCGGTTGTTCGGATATTAAACTTTGAAGATGCCGCTCCTCGCGGTACTGACTCAGCAAGTGTCATTAATAACTTCGAGGAGATAGATAAAGTGCTAAACACCGCGAGCCGTGTGCTCGAGCACACGTCATTACCCTGACTATCGCTCGTCTCGATAAAGGGCTGCTATAATATCCAGCATCCAGCTAATTCATGACAACTTTTATTTTCATAATGCAATGAAAAGGACTTTTTAAAAGATACATTTACATTTGATCGACTGAATCAATAATATCAAAGTTGAATTTTGGAGAAGTAATTTAACGAGGACCTATATTTTATTACTTAATATTATACTTATTCGTTACATAGAGAATTACCGATGTTAATGGACAATGAGAAAGAGAGAGAGAGAGAGAGAGAGAGGAAGAGATTATAGTTTTTAATCTATTTATGTTGCTTGCATGTTTCTAGTTTATTAATGTGTAATATTGCTACTGACGGGAAGGTCGGTTGAATATTTAATGATATTTCATATTTACTGGCACGACATCCGTTCAAATTGCGTACGTCAACCAGTTACAGCTCTAGTGACTCTACGACTGTATTCCAGGCTGCTACGCACTGTGTTAAGGCGTTAAGGGACAATTGATTGTCTCTTAGGATCATAAGTGTATAATATATAATAACTGAAGTATATAGTTGATCGGTAACAGAGTATGTACAAATCTAAACGTACACGATACGGTGGGCATACGGTTAAGTACCAGAAGAAGAATTGGATGAAAATTTGGAAAAATCAAGCGAAAGAATTTTGTCTGGCTACTGGAATTCATGGATACAAATACATAGCTCAGGATCATAGATCAAAAATCGAAAGGTTCATATACTTTGTGTTACCTTTTTAAATTAAAGATACTATTTAAATATATCTTGATTTTTAATTTTTTTGTGAAGTATGATAAAGTGGTAAAATTTGTTTTAGAATTTTATGGGGCATTGTGGTACTGGCACTCCTAATATGTGCGTTGATACTGATGAAAATGACTTGGGATTATTATTCAGAACATTCGACTCTCACTGTCCTCGAATCCACTCACTATGGAATTTGGAATTATCCATTTCCCGCTGTGACTGTATGTAACATTAATCGCGTGTCGCGTTCGCTAGCTACGAGGTTTATCGAAACACTGTAAGTAAGCCGAACGAAGTGAACTTTTATTCGCGTCAGCATTCTAACGCATAACCCTGATTTCGATTAAAGAAACGCACTGGACAACAATACGATAGATATCGATGTCAACGACATGAGGCTCTTAAACGAGTTATTAGATCCAGGCGTTTTTGGTTATGACGTCACGAAAAATTTATCGCGATTACAAGATTATTTTGATATGAATAACTTCAGTATTATCGAAGTACTGTCTAAGGTATGATAATAAAAATTTTTTAATGTTGTAATAATAATTATAGGTGAAATTATCGAGAAATAATACATAACAAATTTGTAAAGGTTACGCCAAGATGTGATCGTTTGTTATCAAAATGCGCTTGGAACAGCGAATTCAAAGATTGTGATACGATGTTCCAGCCAGCTCGTTCTCGCGATGGATTTTGTTGCAGCTTCAATTATGTTAACCAAAAATCTATAGATTCTACAAAGCCTCGGAATAAGATGTACGTCAATTTGATGAGCGGGGTATCATAAACTTAAATGTAAATATTCATGACGTTATATCATATCGAAATTTATTATTAAAGTTTTAGATCTGACCGAGTAACCGGTTGTGGCTATCAGACAGGATTGACAATTATGGTAAATCCTGAACCCGAGGACTATTTTGCAGCTATCATAAGCTCTTATGGTGTAAAAGTAATTTCATTATAACTGATCGATAGTTTAGTTCTATTTACTTTTTTATTCTCATTTTATTAGGTTATGATACACCATCCCTTAGACTATCCAGATTACAATGCTGAAAGTAAATTTGTGGGCGTCGGTCTTCAAACTTTCTTGAACATCGCTCCACAAGAGACGTACTCGACTGAGGGAGTGAAAGAGTTTTCCATATCCGCAAGAAATTGTCTCCTTCCGAATGAACGTGAAAGAGAAGAAGGCGTACTGCCATACCGAAATCTCAGTGCACTTAAACCATCTTATATAAATTGTCTGATAGAATGTCGCGCCACGATAATTCGAGAAAAGTGCGGCTGCATTCCATACTATTACAAGCAGAATGGTCGGTAATGATGTAAATAATTAAACTATGCGTAGCTTAACACATGATTTTATTATGACTACAATCTCTTGTTCCAGTTACGAAGGTATGTGATTTGAAGGATGTCAAATGTTTAAAAGGGAACAAGTGTAAGCATTATTTTGTGATTAAATAAGATATTAATCGTATTTTGCAAAATATGGTTAAAATCTTTAAAAATGGATATAACGTATTCATTATGTTTTATTACAGATTTGTATCAAACTTTGTGGCCTGGCATAAATGTATTAGATCCTACGTTTATACCAGATGAAGATACAACTCCTTGTAGCTGTATGCCTGATTGTGAGTATTATGTTTATCCAACGGAAAGCTCACAGGGTGTTATCGACCGAAGTAACTTTTCTCCTAACAGTGCCTTTTTGTAAGTATTTATAAGATGTATTTAACAGAAAAATCTTCATCCTGGCATAAATAAAACCATATATTTTTTACAGCACAAACTCAACATCTTCGAATCTAAGTGTAATACATATATTCTTTGGTGATTTGGTATCGATCCGTTATCGCCGTGACGCGTATCACAATTGGCATAATCTCTTTGGTGAGTTTTTTACGACAAATTTTATTTAAGAATTAACGGGGTAATATGAATCTTATAAATTTCAGCTTCGTTTGGAGGACTGCTAGGTCTTTTTGCAGGATTTAGTTTTATGTCTGTTTTTGAATTTATATATTTCTTTGTGATTCGAGTTGTTGCGGGTGTCAATAGAAACAGAAAAAAAGATAATTTCACGTTATAATCTTATATTTTCAGGAAGATATAGTATCATAAACGACACTGGTATAAAACATAGATATGTGATTTAGTTTATTTATTCACTAAATTTACGGAACCCGTCACCTTGACGGATTTCAAATTTTATGTTTAACCCTTATACTCCACACTGATACAAATTGCGAATTTGCAGCCAGTGTAGAATTTATGCGTTAAAGTTATCGAAATTACACATATAATTTTTTAGCAATTACGTTGACTTCAATAATCAATGTCCGTAAATCTAATTTTAGACCGGCACAAAAGATATACACATAAATATATTAATAATATTGTCTTTATTGTCAAGATGATCCTGGCAAAGGGAGACCATCAGCTACACATCCCATACAGCATAAAACATTTAACTTCTGACGGATACATTTATTTTCGCGCGCGGACAGACGGGTACATTGCGCACTAAGTGCACAGTAGCTTTTTTTAAACTTGCAACAATGTGCGCGCTTTTTGGTTATCTTCAACGGTTGCTTAAAAGTAAATTTCATTAAATTCGTCTCACATTTATAACGCAATGAACATGTTGGTAAGAACAAATTAATTCATTCGAATTTATTGAGCTAGAAAATTTTATATTCATTTCGGATTGAATTAACAAATAAGATTTCTGCACTGAAGAGTTTGGAATTTCATTTTTATTGGATATTATCCTCAGTTTGACTTCTTTCCATACTTCTATCCAGGTGATATCCAATATTGTTTTACGATAATTGGAAAATTGTTGAAAGAATGACAGTTTCTCATCATTGGAAGTTTGGGAATACTGAAAACGAATTATAATGTAAATTTCAATCAGCTTACAATTACGTAAAGTGGACAGTCTCAAGAATGAAACCGCAACTGTCGTACACTGTATCATGAGTCTTATTTACACTTGGAGTTAGGACTAAACTTAGACAGAACGTGTCTTACGCGCATGCAAAAATTGAGTATGAAACTTTGACAGTTCAGCACAAGTCAGGCATGAGAGAATTTATTTTAGCACCTGGTTTTACCTGAACCTCATACCGCACGAAATTCGGGTTGGGTACTTGATGCCCAGTACACTCATCAAGAATTAAATACGTGTTAGAAACATTGCTGAAACATATAAATTTGCTTGTTACGTTTCAGCAATGTTTCTAAAACGTATTTGAATGTTTTGTGCTGTAAGGGATGAAACTGCTATGCATTCAGACAACCCTTCTGCGAGATATTTGCGATAATCAATAACAAAATTAATTATTGAAAAAATATATCTTTCTTTGAAGTTTAATAAAAAGGATTTTGAAATGAAACAGGCTTGATTATAATTAGTTTAAAAATAGCACATTTTCAGTACTTATTTACAATACTGGTTTACTACCAGATATAGAAAATGCAAAATCCGAATATAAACGTGATGTATTCTGCGGTATTTGCGTTGTCTCCACGCCGTTGACTATGCCACGCATTTCGCTCAACTTGTTTGTGGTTTTCATTGCGCAATTACAGAAAGTCTCATTGCTTTCTGCACCCTCAATTAATGTATCACATAATACCTGAATAAACCAGGATCCTGTTTAAAAAAGTTATATATTAATTAAAGTAAGTGAAGAACTAATTTCCAGATAAGAAAAGTGCCATTCATTATGCATAAGCCTACTGAATTTCCAATGTACAAGATGCATGTAATGTATGCTTAGAATAAATCTAAACTCATATAAGGATAAATTTCAATATAACTGACCTTTCTGTTTGTCTCTTACGGAAACAAATCCGGGCATAGTAGAGGTGAATAGAAAAAATTCACCATAAACCACTACATTTTCAGGGCCATCCGTCGTTAAAGTATCCTTTACACGGCCTACATATAAAATACATGTATTTTTATTTGTAAATGTCACATATTGTAATTATTATACTTGCTAATACACTACAGAATAAAACTCTTCTTTTATTTTACCTATTGTTTTTCCCTGGCATGCTTGAACGATCAAAATTTTTTTAATATATTTTAATTTTTCACAACACAGTGTCATTTCTAATTCCTTTAATGTTAATATTTTACCATTTGTTGTAACTATGGCTCCTGCAACAAATCATATTTCAACATATATAATAATTATAAATCGTGTAAAAAATAAGATAACGCAGATACATAATGTCAGAGTGATTTGACAATATTCTACTGCGTAGAATTAAAAATTGTATATGATCACCTTCTACCCCATGGCTTAATATGCACACAATGACACAAGACTCATCAGTTATATTATTCGTAATGTTTTGTAGTCTTTGAATAATTGTCTTTTCTGATAAATCGTTAAACACCAGAACTTGGAAGCCAAAAAGCATAAAGGTTTCTTTTAATCTCTTCTCATCATGGATAGAACTTAAACGAGTTTCGTACTGTGAATGAATTATGGTAGTAACAAATTATATTATGATACCACAAATATAAAATTGACATTAATCAAGTTGCAATACATTGCTCGATAAAAACTGTACCTGTGTATTTGGAAAATGAATCTCATTAATTATCACACATATTCCTTTCTTAATTATGTTAACAGCAGTTGTTTCAGTTGTTTGAATAATATTTGTATCAGCAGTCTTTTTCACCTTATTCTCAGACAGATCAAATACCTTACATAAAGCATTATCATAACATGATGCTTCACCTGTATCTGATATATTCAATTTATCTATTTCTTCATACAGTGAAAGATTCATTGTTGGAAGTCTCTTTAAATGTTTTTTCAAGTTTTGTACATTACCTGTACCATCTGCAAAAGTCATTTGAATAGTTACGTTTAAAAGCAATTTTAAATCATTTTTCAATTTGATTATGTATTATACATGCTAATTGCCATTGTCATTTAAATGTAAAAACAAAAAGCTCTAAAATACCTGAGGATATGGAAATATATCCACTTTTAGCCCAATATAATATATGGACCTCAAGCAATTGCATGTCTTTTAATTCATCTGTCATATGAATACCATCTTCTTTCATATATCTGAGTAACAATTCTGTTTGTTTCTCATTAAGATATTCGCATAGAATAAATAAAAGTTTTATCAACTTATTTATACGATGAGTATAATATTCTATATCTGGTGAAAAATACTTTTCCAATTCAGCATAGGAATATCCAAGTCTTTCAATAATATGTTTTGTTTTAATGATGCATAGGGCTTCTAACAGTTTAATTGACCACCCCTTAGACAATGTTTCTATAAATTCACACAAATAATATTTGCCAGAATTTATATCATTACAAATCTTGCAAGCAGTTGTATATGCCTCAGCCATATCTTCAGCAAGTAGGAATGTCAATGAAACTTTTTCATACATTTCCAGATCATTTTCCATATGTTTTAACATATCTTTGTCAATATTTTTCAGTTTGATTCTTAAGAGATTATCAACTTGGGCGTCAGTTGTTAAATTCATAGCACACATATTATATACTGATATTATATTATGAAGCAAATAACAAAACAATAAGTCACTTTCTGCTTAAAGACAAGAATTAACAACCAATGTTTTATGAGAATGATTTAACCATTAAGACAGAATTACACAGTATATATTTTAGAGTTAGATGTGAGAATGTATTTCAATTATAGAGATCCATTTATTTAATTATCACTCGATTTTTTAGTTCTGCATTAGCCATTTTACTGGGACCGTCAATGTGATCAAAATGCATTAGCACTAAAAACATCTAATTGTTGATGAAAATTGACAACATTAATGAACTTTCTTCCTTCCTTCCTTCCTTCCTTTCTTTATGGCTGTATCCCCAATGGGGGACATGTGCCAGTAACTGGTCCTAATAATCAAGGTTGGAAGTTCGACACTAGATGGCGATGTACCTTGCGAGACGGGCCTTATTCAACTCAGTGTGAGGGGCCTACAAAGTTTATACACCGAATCCGAACAGTGTTGGGCGAAATTCGTATAAATACTCACTTAAGTTTTCATATGAAAACCCATTGGTGAATGCCGCTGGAAGCTGAGCGCGAACCTCCAACCTTTCGGTCGTGAATCCGCTACCCTATCCACTGGGCTACGGCCGCCCCCTCATTAATGAACTTCTGATAATTATGTAAAAATGCTTGCACAAACGAAACTCTTATATAGAGCCGTCAATGGGTGGTTTCTAGCAGAGATGAGTGGGGAGAGGCACAACGCTACGATTAAAGCATGGCGCTAAATCGTAGCGGCGAGTCCGGGAATAGAATTTTGTGATCATCGCCTCCGTCGATAATGCTATATCCCGTCGTAGCCGAGCTGAATGTGATCACGAACGGGTAGCCTGGCGGGCAGAGTCCTCCGCTACTTATCGCTGGTTCCCAAAGCAATACTTAGAATAAGACAACTCATCGGATATAGCCTAAATACTTTTTTTCTTTGCAATCCTAAATTCGATCGCACAGTGTAAGCTCGGTAAGTTTAATATGACAAAAGCCAGCAACTTATGTCTGCCTGCACTGAAGCGTATGTTGCCACAAGCATATTTAATACATATTTTACCGATGTTGCGTAGCAGAACGATTGTTGAAACCTATCAGGAACTGTAGAACTAATCGAGAACTATTGAAAAAGCCTATTGTTGAATAATTTTTAAGAGATTTTAAAAAAGTGCGATGCTGGAGCTGACATCCGTGTAGCACCTCCATTTTTGTAATGTTAATATAATATGTATTATATGTATTAATATAATATAATATATATAAATATGTATTTTAATAGAGAGTCCACAGTGTTCTTCTCTCGTCAGCGCGCTATAAACGCGGAATTGGCAAAATCCAGAAGACTCGCGTGGACGAGGAAAAATTATTTAGTACACAGCGGAATCTGTGGTTGATCACTCGGAGCGCTGTAAACGCGGAATTGGCAAAATCCAGAAGACTCGCGTGGACGAGGACAAATTATTTAGTACGCAGCGGAATCTGCGGTTGATCACTCGGAAACCAGTATAGCTGGAAATATAGTCAGACACTACCGCGCAACATGGAAACACTTTCCGAATGCATCACCAAAATCTCACACAAATATAAGTCAGATCTATGCTATACGTCCGGTATTAGCTGAGTATAGCAAATTTATGGCTTTCAGCATGGCCGCTTACATAAATGTTTATGGTGAGTAGAAAA